AGAAAATAAAGAAGTAATAAAGTTTCCCTCCGAAGTTTCCCTCAGATATGAAGCACAATTTTTAAATTTTGTAATTATAATCGCCGACTAATATTTAGTGGAATCTCCTCAGAGATGAGCGAGAGAGACATAACGAGAAGAGAGATGAACGAGAGAGACAGAAAGAAAGATAGAGAGAAGAGAGATGAGCGAGAGAGACATAACGAGAAGAGAGATGAACGAGAGAGACAGAAAGAAAGATAGAGAGAAGAGAGATGAGCGAGAGAGACATAACGAGAAGAGAGATGAACGAGAGAGACAGAAAGAAAGATAGAGAGAAGAGAGATGAGCGAGAGAGACATAACGAGAAGAGAGATGAACGAGAGAGAGAAACAGAGAGATAGAGAGAAGAGAGATGAGCGAGAGAGACATAAAGAGAAGAGAGATGAACGAGAGAGACAGAAAGAAAGATAGAGAGAAGAGAGATGAACGAGAGAGACAGAGAGAGATGAGAGATGAACGAGAGAGATAAAGAGAAGAGAGATGAGCGAAAGAGACAGGGAGAGAAAAGAGATGAAAGAAGAGATAGATGGGTGAGAGAGAGAGACAGATAGACAGACAGACAGAAAGAGAAGAGTGATGAGTGAGAGAGAGAAAGAGGAGAGAAAGAAAGATGAAAAAATGAATGAAAAGATATAGACAAAGAGAGAGAGAGAGCGAAGAGAGATAGACGAGAGAGAGACAGAGAGAGATGAGCGAGAGACAGAGAGAGATAAAGAGAAGACAGACAGAGAGAGAAGAGAGATGAGAGAGATAAAAAGAAGAAAGATGGATGAGAGACACAGAGAGAGAGACAGAGACAGAGACAGACAGACAGACAGACAGAGAAGAGTGATGAGTGATGAGTGAGAGAGAGAAAGAGAAGAGAAGAGAGACAGAGACATAGAGAGAAAGAAAGAGACAGACAGACAAAGAAGAGTGATGAGTGAGAAAGAGAGAGACAAGAGAGACAGAGACACATAGAGAAAGAGAGAGACAGACAGACAGAGAAGAGTTATGAGTGAGAGAGAGAAAGAAAAGAGAGACAGAGACAGAGACAGAGACAGAGACAAATGAAAAAATTGGTAAAAAGAGAAATGTTCAAAAGAGTAAAACAACGTCGTCTTTATTTTTTTATTTATTTTTTGTAATAGAAAAATATCGTTGCATTTATTTAAACCATTTTATGACCATATATATATGAAGCTGTCTTAAAGCCACAATATATATATATATATATAAAAAAAATAAGAAAGAAAATTTAAAAAAAAAAAGAAGGAAAAATTTTTTTTAAATTTTTTTTGAGCCAGCTCAACCCGTGTTTTTTTAGTCGCCAATTACTTTTATAGATCCCTCAAATTTAAATTAGAAATGCCTCCCTCCAAATTTAAATTAACAATAGTGTTTGATTATTGTTAACCGTGTATAACGTAAAAATAATTTTAAAAAGTTGAAAAAATTAATTATTAAAAAATTAAGAAAAATTTTAAAATTTGAAATAATATCAATATAATAAGAAAGAAAAGAAAGAAAGAAAATTAAAAAAAAAAGAAGGAAAATTTTTTCTCCAAAAAATTATGAGCCAACTCAACCCTTGTTTTTTTTTTTTGGGACTCCTGCATGACTAACTAGGCACTAATCAATTTTTTAGAATTTTAGAACATGCAATATGTATATTTTCTCATAGATAAAGACAGATGAAGAAATCATGTGTCAAGTGGATTTAATTATTTTATTATTCAGTTGTAACTAGCAGTCAAAATCATTTTCTCAAGCATATCTTAGCAGTCAAAATCATTAACGCACTACTAAAAAATATATATGCACAGCCCCAGCTTAGGCCTTTAGTTCAATTAGCATTAAATCGCCAATTACTTTTATAAATCCCTCAAATTTAAAAAAAATATATATATCTAAATTAAGTGAGTACTTATTTTGTATTTTAAAAAAATCACAAATATTTTCTTTTTTAAATATTGTTGTTAATAAAATAAAATACTATTTTGTTAATTTTTTTATTTTCATTCGGCTACCAAACAATTTAGTAGCCAAAAGTAGGTCTACAACGACTAAAATTTGCTTAAAATATTTAAAAAAGTTGAAAAAATTAATTATTAAAAAATTAAGAAAAATTTTAAAATCTGAAAAAATATCAATAAGTCTTACATTTTACACACTTAGCTCTCGTTTTGAAAATGATATTGAAAAATTGAAAAATTTATTTAAATAATAAATTATTACATTTTAAAAATATTCATTACATTTTAATAATATTAATTTTTCATTACAACCCTACAGAAATTACCATTACCTAAAGGAACACTTTACCATTATTAAACAATCGGCTACCAAAATATTTAGTAGTTAAAAGTAGGCCTTTGGCGACTAAAAAGTAATTTAGTCGGTGAATCACCTGTTTTTGGCGACCAAAATTTTGGTCGCCAAAGGTATTTTATAATTTTTTTATTTTCATTCGGCTACCAAAATATTTAGTAGTCAAAAGTAGGCCTTTGGCGACTAAAAAGTAATTTAGTCGGTGAATCCCCTGTTTTTGGCGACCAAAATTTTGGTCGCCAAAAACAGGGGATTCACCGACTAAATTACTTTTTAGTCGCCAAAGGCCTACCCAAAAGTAGGTCTTTGGCGACTAAAAAGTAATTTAGTCGGTGAATCCCCTGTTTTTGGCGACCAAAATTTTGGTCGCCAAAGGTATTTTATAATTTTTTTATTTTCATTCGGCTACCAAACTATTTAGTAGCCAAAAGTAGGTATACAGCGACTAAAAGAAATTTTGTCGCCGAAACTTGACATTTGGCGACCAAAAGTTTGGTCGGGGCTACCAAACTATTTAGTAGCCAAAAGTAGGTCTTTGGCGACTAAAAAGTAATTTAGTCGGTGAATCCCCTGTTTTTGGCGACCAAAATTTTGGTCGCCAAAGGTATTTTATAATTTTTTTATTTTCATTCAGCTACCAAACTATTTAGTAGCCAAAAGTAAGTCTTTGGCGACTAAAAATTCTTTTAGTCGCCAATTGTGATATGTTTAGCTACTAAAAATTTTTTTAGTCGCCAATTGTATTTTTTTTAGCTACTAAATTTTTTTTAGTCGCCAATAATCAACATTCCCCTACTAAAAAAAGTTAGTAGCTAAAAGGTTGACTTTTGCCGACTAAAATTAATTTTGGTAGCCAATTCCCACACTTTTGGCGACTAAATTTGTTTTGGTAGCCAAAAATGGTCGGCAAAAATGTGTTTTCTTGTAGTGTGTACTGTCTGTTCAAATTCCATTTGAATTCTTATGCTAATTATGCTATTGTCGTAGCCACGTCATACTCTTTCTTCTCTACTACAACTGTGTGAATCTTGGGATTAGAGCTTGAACGATTAGAAAAACCTATGAGTGTATCTTCACCGCTAGGGGGTCAAAATCGAGTAGATCTCGTATGCAAATCATGTGAACTAGGAGTCTCCAATTTGCGTTTAATGTGTGACCTACGAGTCATGTAAATGTCAGACTTTGACGTTATCTTAGGAATGGACTGGTTATCAGCCTATAGAGCTACCATTAATTGCTATCGAAAGACGATGACTACCTACTCTTATGACGGAACACGATTCCAATTTAAGGGGGACAGACGAGATTCCCTATCACTGACACTTGGAAAGTCAAAGAGGCCTAATCACCTAGCTGGGTGGCTAGCCAGCTTAGTTCTGGAAGACAAGGATCGTATGGAACTAGGGCTACCTCGTCTGGTGTGCGAGTATGTTAATGTATTCCTAGAGGAGTTACTATCCCCAAAGCGAGAAGTAGACTTTACCATTGAACTACAACCTAGTACATCATTGATCTCAATGGCACCACATCGTATGGCACCAGTTGAATTGAGAGAGCTAAAGACACAGTTGCAAGAATTATTGGACAAGGAATTTATAAGGCCAAGCACGTCCCCGTGGGGAGCACCAACCTTATTTGCTAAAAACAAAGATGACACACTTAGGTTGTGCATTGATTATCAATAACTCAATAGAGTTGCCATTACGAATCAATATCCACTACCTAGGATTGATGACCTTTTTGATCAGCTTAAAGGCGCAAAGAATTTCTCGAAGATAGACCTTAGGTCTGGGTATCACCAATTGCGTATTCGGGAAGAAGATATTCTTAAGACTGCGTTTTGAACCTGTTATGGCCACTATGAGTTCGTAGTGATGCAATTTGGCCTAACTAATGCACCAGGCGTGTTCATGAGCTTAATGAACAAAATATTCACACCATACATGGACTAGCTTGTGATAGTATTTATTGATGACATATTAATTTACTCGCATGCCGAAGAGGAGGATGACAAACACTTAAGGATTGTACTGTAAATTTTAAGAGAGAATCAATTGTATACCAAGGCCAGTAAGTGTGAGATCTGGCTAAAAGACGTGAAATTCCTAGGTCATGTCGTCTCCGAGAATGGAATATCAATGGACCTAACTAAAGTAGATGCAGTAACAAAAATGAAAGCAACCTAAGAACACATTGAGATTCGTAGTTTCTTAAGATTGGCCAGTTACTATCAAAGATTCATTCAAGACTTCTCAAAATTGGCCAATCCAATTACACATTTGACCCAAAAGGAGGTAAAGTTTGAATGGAACGAGTCTTATGAAAATTCATTCCAAGAACTCAAGATAAGATTGACGAGTGCCCCTATTCTCATAGTACCAGAACGTGATGTTGGGTACAATGTGTATTGTGATGCTTCCAAAGAAGGTATGGGGTGCGTATTGATGCAAAACGGCAAGGTAGTGGCATATGGGTCAAGACAATTAAAGAATTATCTAACTCATGACTTGGAATTAGCAGCAATAGTTCACGCACTCAAAATTTGGAGACACTACCTGTATGGTGAAAAGTTTGAGATATTCACCAATCACAAGAGCTTGAAGTATTTGTTCACCCAAAAGGACCTGAAAATGCATCAGAAATGCTGGATGGAGTATCTCGAGGATTACCAATTTACCCTTTCCTATCATCCCGACAAGGCTAACGTGGTGGCAGATGCGCTAAACTGCAAGAATAGAGGGATTGTTGCTAGTTTATCACTTAGGGAATGGAGTATGGTTGGAACGCTCAATGAATTTGGGGTACAAATGGAGGTTTGAGGTGAAAAGGCTTACATTGGTGCTCAGATTGCTACACCTAAAATCCTGAGCGAGATATTAGAATCACAAAGGTACGATCAGGAGGTAGCATTTATCAAGGCACGAATGGAATCTAGTGAAACCATGCTTGGTTGGGAAATTCACACTGATGGGAGTTTGAAATATCAAGGTCAAATGTTCGTGCCAAGCGACAACTCACTAAGCGAAAAGGTACTCAAGGAATTCCACCATTCAGCATTTGCAGTACATCCAGGAGGTACTAAGATGTACCAAGACTTAAAACACCAATATTGATGGGGTGGAATGAAAAGGGATGTAGCAAAGTTTGTATCACAGTGCTTGACGTGTCAACAAGTAAAGGCTGAACATCAAAGACTGGCATGAACACTTCAACCCTTACCAATCCTGGAGTGGAAATGGGAACACATAACCATGGATTTCGCAGCAGGATTGCCTCAGTCACCACAGGGACATGACGTCGTGTGGGTAGTGGTAGAACGACTAACTAAGACAGCCCGATTCTTACCTGTCAGGTCATCTGATACATAGGATTCACTCAGTAAATTGTTTATCAAAGAAGTGATCAGATTACACGGAGTACCAATCAACATCGTGTCTGATCATGATCCTCGATTCACTTCTCAATTTTGGCAGAGCTTGCAGAAGGCAATGGGAACAAACCTATGCTTTAGCACAGCCTTTCACCCACAAACTGATGGGCAGTCTGAAAGAATGATACAAACCTTGGAGGATATGCTTCGAGCTTCCGTTACGGATTTTAAGGGAAGTTGGGAGAGACACCTACCTCTCGTTGAGTTCGCTTACAACAATAGTTTCCAAGCCAGCATTGGAATGGCACCGTATGAAGCACTTTATGGACAACCTTGTTGATCACCGGTCTATTGGACTGAAGTAGGAGAAGCAACTTTGTTAGGACCAGACTTGGTTTAGGAGACTACTGAGAAGATAAATTTGATCAAAAAACGGCTAACCATAGCCCAAAGTTGACAAAAGAGCTATGCGGATCAGAGGAGACGACCCTTAACGTTTGAGGTAGGGGATCATGTTTTTCTCAAAGTTCGACCTCGTCGAGGTACGACACGATTTGGAAAAAAAGGAAAACTTGCACCTCGTTATGTGGGACCCTTTGAAATTCTGAGCAAGATAGGAGAGGTGGCATACCGTTTAGCACCACCACTACAGCTCGCAGTGGTGCACAATGTTTTTCAAATCTCAATGTTATGAAAATATGAGCCACATCCTTCCATTGTTATCAACTAGGAAGAGATTGATCTCAATGAAGATGCCAGCTTTAAGGAAAGACCTATAAAGATTATGGTTTGACGAGAAAAGAACTTAAGTGGCAAAGTAATCCACTTGACGCGGGTGTTGTGGTAGCATCGAGGAGTGGAGGAGTCTACTTGGGAAAGAGAGGATGCAATACGAGCCAATTACCCTCAGTTGTTTGAAGATAAAGGTATGCGTTAAAATTTT